CGCCGTTGTCGCTACGAAGGCACTTGAGAGATTTCCCAGTTTCCCTCTCCACCATGGCATGGAACTCCTAGAATGTCTGAAACACCTGGTCTTTGGATTTTAACAAAAACACCCAGACCTTTCGTGAAGCATTATCAATATAAGTAACAAAATATTTATTTCTTCCAAGTGACTCAACTTCCATGGGACCACACACATCCGAATAAATAAGATCTAACAAATTTCCTTTCTTTGTAGATGGAACAGAAAAACTAATTCTTCTTTGTTTTCTGAATAAACAGTGCTCACAAGAGTTTAACGACATACCTTTGGCAAAGGGAATGTGAGACTTTTTGCCAAAACTTGTAGGCCTTTCTCGCTCATATGGCCTAGGCTCTTATGCCACAAGTCTAGAGATGAGTCCTCCACAGCATTCAACTCACCTTTCAAAACTTTGGCATTTGACCGGTACAATGTACAACAAAGTCGTGCTCTTACTACCATCATTAAGCCTTTTGTAAGCTTCAATTTTCCGTCGCCAATATGGTGATAATAACCTTGTCGATCAAGGGTACCGATGGATATCAAATTGAGATGTATATCAGGAATATGTCTCACATCTTTCAACATCAACTGGCAGCCGAGATTAGTTCTTAGGCAAATATCACCAATTCCAAGAATTTTGGAATAGCTTTCATTCCCCATCTTCACTATGCCAAATTCACCTTCTTTGTATGTACTAAAGAACTCCCGTTTGGACGTAGCATGGAAGGAAGCTCCATTGTCAAAGATTCATTCAATGTCTCTGTCAGAGTTGCCCCTATGCAGACATTCACCAACAGACAATATTTTTGGTACATCACCACATATGATAGTGGTGGTATTGCCAGTATCATCTTTCTTCTGATTGTTTCCTTCCCTTTGCTTTCTCTTCCAAACTCGACAATTTTTCTTCATATGGCCTTCTTTGCCACAATGGTGGCATGCAACCTTGAACCTTGACTTGGATCGGCTAGGACTCTTGCCATGACCTCTAGGCCCTCTACTCTTGCTTCTTCCGCGGTTCTCTGTGACAAATACTTGGCTGCTATCTATACCAGAAGTCTTTCTCCTTGTTTCTTCATTGAGCATGCTGTTTTTAACATTATCAAAAGTAAGAACACCATTAGAAGCAGAGTTACTTATACTCACCACAAAGGTCTCCTAACTTTCTGGCAAAGGTCCAAGTAACAAGAGCGCTTATAGCTTGTCCTCGATCGTCATTTTCATAGTAGCCAACTGGTTGATGATATTCTGGAAATTGTTCAAGTGTTCTGCTACACTTAAACCATCCTTGTACTTCACATTTGATGAGCTCTTTGATCAAGAAGGCTTTCTTGGCTAAGGTCATTTTCTCAAACAAGGACTCAAGCTTCATCTAAAACTCGCGGGCATTGGTTTCATTAAACACATGGCGAAAAACACTATCATCCACCCATTGTCTAATTGTGCTAATTGCCTTGCGATTCATCTTCTTCCACTTGGCATCGGACATGCTATCAGGCTTATCGGCATCTCCTTCAATTGGCTCATGCAGATCCTTGCAATAGAGAATGTCCTCCATCCTTGGCTTCCAAGTTACCCAATTGGAGTTAGTGAGTTTGATCATAATGCCACTTCCTTCCATCTCGTAGTACGAGCCAACGAGGCTCTGATACCACTTGTTAGGAATGTCGGTACTACAAGATAGAGAATGCACAAGGTAAAGTAGAAGATGGATACCAAGAATTTATGCCTACGTCCACGAAACAATGATCAATCTTCACTATATGAAAAAGGTCAGTACAACAAGAGTAGTCTTACCAAGCCAAAGACAAGGCTTGATGGATACAAGAAAGTATGACACACATTTTCTATCACTCTAAACTTCACTCACAATGTGTAGTGGAACACTCTTACTCTTACTCTTAGAGTGGAACTCTAGCTTTGGACTTGATCCTTTGCTACTCACACTTGGTTCTTAATTGGTTACTTCACTACAACATCACACCTATATTTATAGGTGAGAGTTTGGCATTCTACTAGTTTCTAGTGTATTTTTCAAACCTCTAGCATAGATAATTCTAGACTAGCCACAAAATTGTAGCTTCTAGATCTTTCCATTTGCAACCAAGGAAGCTAGTACTCTCTAGCTTCTTCCATCAACTTAATAACATGCTAGAATTGTGTAGCATGCTCTAGCCACCTCACTTGCTTACTAGAATAATCTAGAACATTGATCATGGGCTGGACCATATACCAACATTAAAGATAGGATTAATCACCAAATCCTATCTTTAATATATACCTGATTGAAGAACAACTCAAACAAATAAGGAATCTTCATCATAATCAATCAATGATACTTACATGATAATTCTAAGATATTATCTCCTAGTTAATATATTAGGCATTATTCCTTCCTCATCCATCATGTTGACTCACCTTGGCCACTCGAAACTGCCATGTGTAGGGCAAATCTGACACCCATGGCCGACGACCTCCTATAAATACCTCATCTCCACCATTTATTGGTAAACTTTACGCGAAGCATACAAGTCCTAAACTTCCAATATTTTCAGAGTTACTGGCTGGGGCATCAGAGATCCATTGGCCAAACCCCACCCCACCTCGTGGGAGGGGGGTAAGACTTTGGTTTTTTATCGATGGTGTTAATTGTTTTGTAGGTAAAAATTCATAAAGACTGAAGATGGTGGGTTCTTGCTACCACAGTGGTGGTGGAGATCAATGCAACGAGGTAGTAAAAGTCACCACGGCGCTTCCTAACATCAATTGCATTTGAACCCAAGTCTGAAAATACACAAAGAGGAAAAAAAGTGACGAAACAATTCAATCCATCTGTAATTTTACGAACGGATAAAGGATCGACTTTAAAATTAAGCACATACAAAAAATCTTTCAGTTATATTTGAGTTTAACGAAATATTGCCGTCGAAGTTTGGAGCCTTTTTCTTTTGCAGAAGCAACTAATCCTCACTGGCGCTAGGCCATGACGTCTGAACTTGATGCTCTTGCTGCCAACAACACCTAGACTCTCACCACTTTGCCCTTTGGCAAGACTCCGATTGATTGCAAATGGGTGTTCAAAATTAAACATTGAGTAGATGGTTCCATCAAAAGGTACAAAGCATGTCTTGTCGCCAAGGGTTTTACTCACACTGAAGTCATTGACTATCATGACACTTTCTCTCGAACTGCTAGGATGATCATCGTCCACTGCCTTATTGCCGTTGCTGCCAGTTAAAATTGGCATCTTCAACAACTTGACATCAACAATGCTTTCCATGGCAACTTAGATGAAGAAATTTAAATGTCCCTTCCTTCTGGTATTCGGCAACAGGGGGAGAATCTTGCATGTCGCCTCAACAAGTCGCTTTACGGTTAAAACAAGCTTAAAGGCAATGGTTCGCCAAATTCACCAAAGCCATTATTGTTGTTGGCTTCAACCAATCTAAGGCCGATTTTTCACTTTTCACTTGCAGTTCAGGAAAGTCTTTCACAGGCTTATTGCCATATGTTGACGATGTTGTAATTATGAGTAATGATGTTCATGCAATCAACTCTCTCAAAGATTTCCTTCATACCTATTTTCGCAGTAAAGATTTGGGAATTTGAAATATTTCGTGGGCATTGAAGTTTCTCTTTCCAAAAGTGGCATCTATATTTCATAGCGCACATATGCACTTGAAATACTCAAAAATCAAGGTTTTCTGGGAGCTAGACCAGTGGAGTTCCCAATGGAAGATGTCAAACTTTCAAAGAAAGACGAATTGCTCAAGGATCTTGCCAAAGATCAATGTTTGGCAGGCTGACTAATTTATCTCACTATCACTCGTTCGGATATCACTTATTTCGTACATGTTTTTAGTCGTTTTATGCATGAGCCATGACAACCTCACATGGATCTGCTAATAAACTAAAAGGAAAACTAATGAAAATGGCTTGAAAACTTTGAGTTTTAATGATAAGGACAAAATAAAGGGTAAAGTGAATAGTACCAGGATTGACTTTTTAGTGTAAAAATATGGTTTTTCGTTAAAGTGAACAGTACGGGCGCTTCGTTAAAGTTTCCTAAACTAAATTTGGTTGCTTTTTGTGATTTGAATTGGGCTGGTTGTCCTATGACTAGTCGTTGAACCACTGGTTATTGTATGTGTGCGTGTGTTTTTTTTGGGGTAATGTTTTCATCTTTCGGTGCACAAAGAGACAGAAGACCGTTTCCTTGTCCTCTGCTTCGATCGAGTATAAGGCAATGGCAGACACTTTGTTATGAGGTCACTTAATTGAGATTTTTATTGGAAGATTTACAGTTGCCTCATTCAAGAGTTTCACATTTATATTGTGGTAATCAAGCTGCTTTACATATAGTGGGGAATCCAGTTTTTAAAGAGAGGACACAACATAGTGAGATGGATTGCCATTTTATTCGAGACAAGATAATTGATGGCACGAATGCTACTCGACATATAGAGTCTTCGCAGCCGCAAATTGGGAGTTCTCTACCTTCACTCTCCAACTTGAGAGGGAGTGTTAAAAGCCTCTCCACTCTCCTACAAAAGTGGCTTGAACCAGCTTTCACAGAAATATGTTAAAGCAATTTCTATCCAACTTGAATGAGAGTGTTAATTAGGTTCGTTGAACAACTAGGCTCATTAAATTTTCTACATAGGTTTATTGACTCTTCTACATTAGGTTCATTATATAAAAGAGTAAACGATACGTATTTATATTTACTGTATATTATAGATTTGAGGATGAATGGAAGTTAAGTCGCGCCAAATACGTTTTCGTACAGTCGTATGTCAAGTTAATGGAGGAATTTTCTTCCTTTGTCGTATTTATGCATTGCTAACGTGGAGGGAACGTATGTGGGTTGAGGAGAGGAGAGAGAGAAGGCGCGCGCAACAAAGCTGAAGGTGAATACAGTTAGTTACACCACAAAACAAACAAATTTAACAAACAAACTCACATCCTCTCCCTCTCTCCAATCTTACTTCCCCACCAAGAAACAAAATATTAATATAAATAATAATAACAAATAACAATTGAGGGAGAGTGGTCGGATAGTGATCAACCATAATCCACAAACACACAAGGAGAGAGGTATAGAAACAAACAGAAATAACAGTTTGAAAGGCCAAGGAGAAGCATGGAAAACGATCGAATCACAAATCAAAAATAAAAAACTAGAAAAATCAGAAGAAATTCATCGTCATCGGAGAATCGAATCGAATCGAATCGAAAGAATGAAGAAAGGATCGCATTCAGTATTGCCGTACGAAACGCCGCGGCTGAGAGACCATTACCTGATGGGCAAGAAATTGGGCCAAGGACAAATTCGGCACCACCTACCTCTGCACCCACAAGCCCACCGGCGCCCACTACGCCTGCAAGTCCATCCCCAAGCGCAAGCTCCTCTGCCAGGAGGACTACGACGTCTGGAGGGAGATTCAAATCATGCACCACCTCTCCGAGCACCCCAGCGTCGTCCAGATCAAGGGCACCTACGAGGACTCCGTCTTCGTGCACCTCGTCATGGAGCTCTGTGCCGGCGGCGAGCTGTTTGATAGGATCGTCAAGAAGGGGCATTACAGCGAGAGGGAGGCGGCCAAGCTCATCAAGACCATCGTTGGGGTGGTGGAGGGCTGCCACTCCCTCGGTGTCATGCACCGCGATCTCAAGCCGGAGAATTTCTTGTTCGACACGCCTTCGGATGATGCCACGCTCAAAGCCACCGATTTCGGCTTGTCCGTCTTCTATAAGCCAGGTTCAGCTTCCTTCCCTTCATTTCCAGATCAGATCCACTTTTACTTGTTCTTTCTTTTTATTAGAATTGGAATTGGAAATGTTGGTCTGCCATCAATTTTGAGAATGTTTCTGATTATTTCTTCAACTCATTAATTTTGCTGAATTAGATTTCTCGTGCCTTGTTGCGTACTCAATCTTTAGGGTTGCTTGATTTATACATCCATACTGTTATTGGTTATAGATTGTTTCTCTACTTAGTCTCGGATATGTTGAACAAACATAAACTCCGCTGCTCCGCCTACAAGGGAGAAGACAGCAGCTATTTCCCCGATATTGTATTTTTCTCTTTGCCATATTTGGAGGTTGCTAGATTTATTTAGAAATTTCTATCCTTTCAAGCCTGATTCTATATTGCATCGCTAGATTCAACAGTTTTATTGTCTTTTTGGTTGGAGATGGTTGGCTCATCTGTCATGGTATTGATACCATAAGAAGGTATCTACTTTTGATTCAGTATACCAATTAATTCAGTCATTCCCGTGAGCGAAATTACTCATCAATCTCTATGTCTAAGACAGTCCGTCTACATAAACACAATTTCGAATGTATTACTTTACCAGAATAATGCTTTTTCTTTTTCTTTTTGGTTTTCAAACCGGTATACAATTGATGCAATCACTATCCTGTATCAAATGCGGCTCTGCCTTGTGTTCTTCTCTTTCTCCCCGTTGAAGCTTGAATGGTGTTTTTATCGTGCGTAAAGATGGTTGGTTACGTGCTCTGCTCTACCTTTTCTTGTTCCAGGACAATATTTCTATGACATAGTTGGGAGTCCCTATTATGTTGCACCTGAGGTGTTGTCCAAGATTTATGGACCTGAAGTGGATGTATGGAGTGCTGGTGTGATACTTTACATCCTCTTAAGCGGGGTTCCTCCTTTTTGGGCAGGTAGTGATCCTCTACAGTTACAATCTCTTACACTCTGGACTATCACACCATTATCAGTGAGGCATACCTTATTATTACGTTTGATTGTTTTGCTATATCGTGAGTTGATTAATTTTTCAATATGTATCTGCAGAAACTGAATCAGGGATCTTCAGACAGATTTTACATGGCAAAATAGATTTTGAATCTGAGCCGTGGCCTAATATTTCAGAAAGTGCGAAAGATCTCATGTATAAGATGCTTGAGAGGCACCCGAAGAAAAGAATCTCTGCCCATGAAGTCCTATGTGAGTGGTTTAATACCTACTATACAATGCCAATTAAGTTTTATGTGATAGTTGCATAGATAAGGTTATATCCAAAATGCTAGCTGCATTGAACTCTAAAATGGATCGTTTCAGGTCACCCCTGGATTGTAGACGACAGAGTTGCCCCAGATAAACCACTAGATTCTGCGGTTCTGTCCCGCCTCAAGCAGTTCTCAGCAATGAATAAGCTTAAGAAGATGGCACTTCGTGTATGTCTTATAAATGTTTTACCATTATCATCTTTTTGTTGATCGATCATTCTAATTCATTTTACACAGCACCCTGGCAGTAGTTGGTAAATTCATTTATCATCCAATGTGAGAGTTACACTTCAATCTCTGTCAAGTCTATTTCTGAGATAACAAATAATTACATAACTTCAGCAACCAGTAGTTTTTAAAATGGAAGCAATATGATACATGATGGGACTTGGGAGTTAATTTCACCTTGAAAACGTTGGCTGTAACCAAGACACACAGTATTTATAGTTTCCAGATCGAAACTCTATTTAAACATTACATTCAACTTCCAACGGAGTTGAAAAATCTCTAGGATACCAAATTTTACTGCAGAATAATTCTTATGCAACCAATGGAATGTTTGTTTGTCAATGGTCAATAAATGTTCGTCTGCAGTGTACATTGTATTATATAACGGTCGGTCTGAGCAGAAATATCATTTTTGATTTATTCAAAACTTGTCACTTTCCTTATAATACACATGGCTTTATCACATATTTTTCGTATCAACTTCACAAGATGAGTGTATGCAGTGACTTGTGAGAGTAAAGGTTTTGAGACGTGAGAGTGAGGGAAGACCTCTCGTTTTCTGTTTAATTCTCTAACCACTATATATGCAACTTCTGGCCATAGTGAAGTAGGCAGACAACAACGATTTATATATGTCAATACAATTTATATATATAAACCAGTTATGGTTATGGTAAAGTTCTAACCAGAACTTCTGGAGTTTTCACTCAATTATCTCTGAAATTTCTGATGACAGCGATTTGTTTCTTCTTCTACTGTGACCACTTTTTTGTTTTGGTGATGGTGTAATGTGTATCACTGTGACATTCTTGTTTTCTTTGCGCAGGTGATAGCGGAAAGACTGTCAGAAGAAGAGATTGGAGGTTTAAAAGAGCTGTTCAAAATGATTGACACAGATAGTAGCGGGACAATAACATTTGAGGAACTTAAAGAAGGATTGAAAAAAGTGGGCTCGGAGCTAATGGAGTCTGAAATCAAGTCCCTTATGGAAGCAGTTAATAGATTGATCCCCATAAACTGTGGCTACATATTACTAAGTTTTAATATCCTTCCATTTAAGGTTTTAATAGATCTCCAACGCTATTAACACGAATGATCCTCACAAAATCATTTCTGCTTCGGCAATGTTGGCAGGCTGATATAGACAACAGCGGAACAATAGACTATGGCGAATTTCTTGCTGCTACCTTGCACTTAAACAAGATGGAAAGAGAGGAGAATTTGATTGCAGCCTTTTCCTTTTTTGACAAAGATGGTAGTGGATATATTACTGTCGACGAGCTTCAACAGGCTTGCAAGGAGTTTGGTCTAGGTGACGTTCATCTGGATGAAATTGTCAAAGAGATTGATGAAGACAATGTAAGCGTTTGGTTTCATGTTTATTTCGATGAGAAATAATATTATTGAAGTTTCGGAAGCCTAATTGCTTAAGTTTGGCAGGATGGGCGTATCGATTATGGGGAGTTTGCTGCAATGATGAGGAAGGGGGGTGATGGAGGAATTGGGAGGAGCAGAACCATGAGAAACAATTTGAACTTTAATTTGGGTGACGCTTTCGGAATAAAAGATCAGTCTACGTCTTCGTCTGCCGGAGAATGAGACAGTAACAGAGAAATGCAATTTCTTGTAAACATTCAATTTGTAAAAGGAACTAATGAATAGCTTACGTTTCTTAATCTTGTGCTGCCTGATTAATTCCAAGGGTTTTGCTTTATATGTATACAAAGTGGCCTTGTTAGAGCTTAATACGTGGTAATCTCATTACTAATTGTCTTTTGGAGAGAAAAATTTGGTTTGTTTTAGTTTTTTTCTCTTTAAAAAGGGGACAACTGGTGACAAGACACCATTATCCACCCCTTTTGGGGGCCGGGAAAACTCACAGAGACATTTCAGCATCTCATGGCCACAATGAACCTAATGTAGAAGAGTCAACAAACCTATGTATAGAATTTAATGAGCGTAATTTTTCAATGAACCTAATTAACACCCCCCTCAAGTTGCTTAAACAGCTTTGTGTGAAGGATGGCTCAAGCCGCTTTTGTAGGAGAATCATTAACATAGAATTCTAGGAAAGATTGCTCAAGCCACTTTTGTAGAAGAATCTTTTAACACTATTTTCTGAAGATTGATGTTTTGTGAAGTTTTTAAACCCAAAATGTTCTTTCATCATTTTTTTTTATTTTTTGGAACAATTGTTCTTTCATCTTTAAACGCTGTTATTTGAACCGCAGACGACCTTTCCAACAGAGGTGACTTGGGCAGGAGGTCAACAATGTCCGACAGTAAATAATTAGCCAACGATCCAAAGCAATCCTGGCAAGTACGTATGAGCAAACTCGTCCCACTGCTGTATACAAAAATTTCTCCAATCCCATTTGAATCACAATATCCTTAATATTTAATCATTTCAATTTCCACATATCATCCTCATTGCATTCAGTTACAACTTAAAAACGTATAAATCAACACTTTTTCAAACTTCCACTGGACCTGAAATGGTTAACCATATAGAAAAGTATAGCAGTTCCAACTAACAGAAAGGGCAACCGCATCCGAAAAAAAATACAAGATTTGCTATATAATTGTAAACCATGTTACAAGGACTATCAATGTTACATGAGCCTAAAGCAATGATAAATTCATAAATAATTTCGCACAGCAGCTTTCGAAACATCATTTTTAACTATGTAACAATACCTTACCTAGTAAAGAACGCTTTGAAGAGCCTATCGAAAAACAGACGCTCCCTTCTGGGTACTGGAAAAATTAAGCTTCACCATAATGTAACATTTGCACTATTTAGCTGTCAGACTACATGAGCCGCCTTCTGTACAGAAGCATGGAATGGAGTCCTCGACACCTGAACTTTCATTCATAGATTCGCTTCCTCTTCAAAACGGTTGGAAGTATAATCACAGAACCAATGAGGAAAAGCACAAACAGAGTTTTAAAATCATAGAGATCCTTGACGGACTTGAGATCCCCCAGAGCAAGGCCAGCCTGGAAAACCAAAATGAGCAGCTATCGATTACTACAACGAAAACATTTCATGAAAAGAAGCTGTCATGTGTTAAATTGAAAAACAGATTTCTGACAGTCCAAGATGTTCGGTTGTAACCGAACAGTTAAAATATGACCTGCATTAATTAGGATGTCAACTACACTATAAACCAATGGGATCAGATGTTCCGTTTATGTGTATCTTAATTTGGTCACAATTGTGATTCCTTTTCTATGTGCAACAAAGCTCTATTTTATTATATAATAAACACAGCAAAAAAGTCACCATACAACAAGGTACACAAGTTAGCATGATGAAAATCAATTTAATCCGTCATATTTTTATTTGGACAGGGATAAATACATGTAAGAAAATAATTCTAAGTAGATATATACTTGATGTTTATCCAAAAGCTCTCTTCAAACATATTGACAATATTGTTAGTGAAGTTATTAAATTCTATAGCTGTCGGACGAAAAAACACAAACGATCATGATAGGTCCAACAGAAACATCAGCTGCAATCTAACTGAAAAAGGTTTAATTATCATGGCCTATCTCACATGGAGTACGAGTAGCATATATCCAAGCTATAAAGGATATGTATGATGGAGCAAGGACAACCGTAAGAACTCATGAAGGACAAACCGAAAGCTTCCCCATAACAGTAGGGTTACATCAAAGCTCATCTTTAAGTCCTTACCTTTTTGCATTGGTAATGGATGAGTTAACGGGACATATTCAATATGATATTCCTTGGTATATGCTTTTCACAGACGATGCTTTTCACAAACAATATAGTGTTGATAGATGAAATTCAGGAAGGAGTAAATGCGAAGCTTAACCTTTGGAGAGAAGTGTTGGAATCTAAAGGTCTTCGCCTAAGTCGGTTAAAGACACAGTATATGGAGTGCAAGTTAACGGAGGCTCAAATGAGTTAGGGGTGAGGATTGGAAATTAGAAAGTACCCAAGAGCGACCGCTTTCGCTACCTAGGATCTATCTTGCAAATGAACGAAGAGTTGGATGGAGACCTCAACCATAGAATACAAGCTGGATGGATGAAGTGGAAGAGTGCATCCAGCGTGTTGTGTGACCGTTGTATGCCATTGAAGCTCAAGGAAAATTTTTATAAGACGGCAATAAGGCCGGCAATGCTTTATGGCACGGAATGTTGGGCGGTGAAGCATCAACACATACATAAAATGGGTGTAGCGGAGATGAGAATGCTTCGTTGGATGTGTGGGCACAAGAGAAAGGATAAGATTAGGAATGAGGACATCCGAGGTAAAGTAGGAGTAGCCGAAATTGAAGAAAAGATGAGAGAAAATCGGTAACGGTGGTTTGGACATGTGAAATGAAGGCCTACTAACGCTCCAGTTAGAAGATGTGATTACGGGACAGAGGTTCAGGGCCGAAGGGGTAGAGGAAGACCTAGAAGGACTTTGGAAGAGACTCTAAAAAGAGACTTAGAGTACCTGGATCTAACGGAAGACGTGACACAAAACCGAGCGCAATGGCGTTCTAGAATTCATATAGCCGACCCCACTTAGTGGGAAAAGGCTTTGTTGTTGTTGTTGCCTATCTCACATGCACAAATCAACCTCCAAACATAGCAAGTCCTGCATCTAATTATACAGCACGGGGAACATGACAATAACAACTTTACTGATACCCCTTAATTCATCCCGACGATATAAAAATTTCTATTCACTTTATGTTTACTGTAAATTAGTCAATTTGTTATCTTTATGATTTATTTTATTCAAAAATAAAATTTTGACACTATGAGCTAGGTCTAGAACTTTTCCAACCAAAAGAAAAGGCATATAAAATTTGCAAATTTCATGAAAGACTTAGATCCAGATTTAGGTATTCATTGACGACATCATGAGCATCTACAAGAAGCTTGAAGGCCTTGATCAATACAACATCAAATTATTGCAAGAGCTTGCTAATAGGAGAGTTTACCACACTATAAGCTTAGACTAGCTAGATAGCCTAGTACTTTGACCAAAACTAGTTCACTCATATCTTGGACCCTAGGAGTAATGGGGACTCCCGAGTAAATGGGAGTTGGACAAGTCACGTTGTCGAAAGAGAAGAACCAAAACCAGAACTTTTTCTGGAATGGAGGTCAACCAGCATAGTTGGTCAATTTCTTCAGTGGCTCAATCGCCTAACCTCCCAGCAGGCTACCTTAGCCAGCAGTTGGCTGAAGACCTTTCAATTTAAATATCCCACGCGACTGTGAATCACACTTCAGATTAAAGATAAGACAACAAAACACATATCTACTAAGTTTCTTCTGCAATCCACTGGTGTTACCCTGTGTTTTCCGGACTCCACAAATCTGAGAAATAGAATTTTATTAAAAAGCTAAAATTGCGATGCAAAACTTAGTAAACCAGAGGTCCACCCATTATATGATACAACCCTAAAACCAAATCCATAAATACACCTCTAACATTGCAATACAACTCTAAAAACTATCCTACAGCAGCTCCCCCTTCTAATAAAATTAAAGAATATGCAAGATCTCTAAAGGTTGGAGAAAGCAAGAAACCACAGTACAGACACTACAAGGAAGTTAAGCTCATATGATTACCCAAGAAAGCAATAATACATAGAACACCCAAAACCTCACTTTTTTCCCCAAGGATTCTATTGTAGATCCCCATTATACTCCCTAAAGAAGCCACAGCCAAACTCCACACATGTTCTTATATTTCTGTCCAACCACATTACCCAAGAGATAGTTAAAAGAGGGAAATTCCACAGAATTCTGTCCCTTTACCACCGAAAGACATACTTTTGACAAAAAATGTTTGAACGTAACTCAAAAATAATAACCCAATCGACCCATGCTTCTCTGACCAATCCCCACCACAGCGTCAATGATTATGGATTATTGCCTCTAAATATGACATACTTCAAGGCCTTCAAGTCCAAAACCTCCTAAAGCATAACAAAACAATGAAGTAAAATGCTACCCAGAACTAATCTAAGCAGTGTGGACTGTTTAACTATTTTATTGGACAAATTCGTTACTAAAAAGTATAGCGAGCCCCATATACAGACACCAAAACAACCGGATAGTAAGATGAGAAAGTTCCATTTATGTTACAGAAAATAGAATTTCGTCATTTAATGAGTAGAAAGAACTTACCCTGACTGTGATATAAGATGCTGGAATAAGACCAACAAAAGTCGCCAGAAAGAAAATATGAAACGGTATATCAACAATTGGAGATGCCAAGTTGATGAAAAGGTTCGGCAAGGTTGGAGTTATCCTAAGAAAAAGCATGTAATTTAGCAGCTTTTCCCTACGCTTTGCAATCTGGGTGCACAAAATTTAAGGTTAAAGTAGTGGAAGAACGATAGCATAATTGACCAAATTTAACAAAGTAATAAGAAGTACCTCTGCCTGAAAAAATCTCAACCTTTCTGGCCACAACCAACTAACTAAAGGCCTTCCAATTAACTTAGACAAAAAGAAGCAGGATGACGCTCCAGCTGTAGCGTTGCAGACAACCAAGATAAGGCCTCTGATTACGCCAAAAAGAGCTCCAGCTAGCAATGACATAAAAATTGTCCCAGGAATCATAAAAGTCTGCATGAAGATGTAAGTAGAGCAGTAACCCAGAATAAATTGTGCTGGATAATCATTGGCATATGTTGCCAGATTGTCTCTGCAAAAGATTATAAAAATATTAAAAAATCAGAACAAGCATTCAGGGGAAGTGA